TAAATTAACTTTACCATCTCTAACTTGGAGTGTTGTCACCGAGAAAAGGCTGATGTTGCACTTTAATATTGGAATAGAATATAAATTTAAGTTAATACACTGAAGATTTAAGAATAAAATAAAATATCGATAAAAACCTGAATAAAACCCTGTCGCAGTATGTTGTTGTTGTTGAGAAAATATATCACTATTAGTAACGTCTTCTTCCTTTTCTTTCGCATTTGCAGAAGAACGTTCAATTTTAGTGGTCTAACAATAATAAATCAACATTTTATTTATCAGATTTATCAGCAAATTTGATCAAGAGGAAAAAAAAACAATAATAAACCGTAAGTGAATGTATTTACTTCACGATATTTTGCCAAATAAATTTTCAAAGCATCCGCATAATTTTCAAATCCTAATGATTGCATAGCCCATAAAATGTCTTCACCATTGATCGTTTTTCTTTTTTCCTGTTGGCAGCGATCGCTTGCCGTATATATCAATAGTTAAGAAAATATAAAAGAAACTGTTTGAAGGTCTATGTTATAGATTAACTGCATCCAATATTAAAAACTTTAAAAAAGGATATTCGCTCGTTATGAAAGAAATAAATTCTGAAACACACTCCTGCACACATTCTTTTGCTTCTTTTGCGATTTTAGCATTATCTGGTAGCGCGCGTTTCATTATTCGTGCGACATTTGCAATTGGAAGGAATCGATCTTGTTCTTTGAAATCCTCGACATCTTCGTCACCGGATGGATGTGCACCTTCTGACATGGCTAAGGTTTTTTTTGTTTCAGGAAAAATTGTTTATTATATCGTTCTATATTTAATGCTGGTCGATTTATTAGAAATTATGTAACATGGTAAGACATTAATGTGATTGGTTAATTTACGTTGATCAAAACGTGATAATTAACCAATCAACTCAAAGAAATTAACGATCATTGTGTATGACAAATAAAGAAGCTTTGTTTTTTTAATAATTATAATATAATATAATATATATTATATTTTTTGTCAGAAGCATAAGCGAGAACATTTTTATTTCTACTCATGCAATGTCCGTTGAAAATACCCAATCAAATTTTGATTAGATAACACAACAGATCTTGGCATATTTTGCTTCGGACATGAATCAGTTTCTGATAGTCTATGTATATGTATAGCTGTATAGTAAATAATAATTTATACCATTTTTAGTCACTAATAGGGAGTACGTATACTTTGGTCAAACCTAAGTTGAAATAAGTTTAAGAAAAATATGAAGTAATCACAACCCGAGGCAGATCTGGAGCAACCTAAAGTAGAATTTAAAGCAATTCTAGTTTAATATATAAAATTGTTGAAGGTTCTCAACTTATTAAATAATTTTACAATACGCATTGTATTAATTATGCAGACGTACAATATATATACGTACGTACTGTAAAATACCAAAGATGGGTACTTGGAAAGATTAGAGACGTCAAGAAAATTTCTACTCGGGTATTACCCGGTTATTTGGGTAATTTATTATAGCCATATCGATATAATAAAAATGATTACGTGCAGTATATACCTGGGTACAATCTCTAGGAAAGATCATAATCCGTACAATGTTTTAAATAGCAATGAGATTCATTAATGTGCTGTATACTTATTTGCTTTCTAATACCGGTACTGTAATGATAATAGATTTGCATCGTTTAAATGTCTTTTGGATATATAATAATTCAATAACTTTGTACAGTAGTACCTCTCTAAGTGCACGCTCTATAAGTGCACATGCTATGTAAATTCACTCTAAATGCACGGCATGACTTGGCCCCAACTTATAAGAGCATTATATAATTTGCTCTCTATAAATGCTCTCTCTCTTTAAATGCACGTTTTGCTTGTTTTTGACTATGGTCCCGAGGAGGGTACACTTAGGGAGTTCTTACTGTATTACTACTAGAAATTTATAAAGAATCAAAAATATATATAATTTGAAGTGTAAGTTCTAATTTTAAGGTAGTATTAACATTAAATTGTATTTAAGATATTTTATAAATTAAAAAAAGTATGGAAAAAAAGTTTTGTCAATAATAATAATTTTCAATCATTATTTATAAAACTAGATATACAGTCAGACCCCTATAAGTGCACACCTTCTCTAAATGCACGTGGTTCAAATACGGATATACTTGATCTGATCCCAAGGGAATGCACTTAGAGAGGCCTAACTGTATTTTTTTTTAATTCTTTATCCAGTGCGGGATATCTTAAACCAGCAAGTAGAAATTAATAATTTTTAACAATTCTTTATAAAAGAATATAGTTAAAAGAAATATTTTTTTTTGGTAAAATATATTAATAACTTTTAGCAATATTAAATTTATTATTAAATGAAAACTTGGCCGTTTTCAAAAAAAAAATTGCTGGTCTAATGCCGAAAATTTTAATTAAAGTTACTTTGCTTAAATATATACGTATACGTATATTTTTTTTGCACTAAAATTTCTAGATCTATAAGCAAATTTAACGTTAATATAAAATAATTGATACGTATTACGAACCATGATTCAATATAATATACTGTATATGCAAATATATACATACATATACTGAAAAATTATTAATTACATGATTTTTTAATGCTTTTGGGGTGGTTGACAAATGTTTTTATTATTGTGTAAAAAATATGGGTTCTCCGATTCACTCTGGACTAATTAAATTTTTTAAAATATATTTAATTTTAGTGAATTTCTATTTTACAAATTAAATATGACTAGGAACTTTGTGATTAGAGATGGGCAAGGTAATTACTTATTACGTAAAAAATCAAGTCACATTATGCGACAATTTACTAATAATATATACTTGTAATTAATAACATGCTAAATTGTCGCATAGTGTGATTTAA